AATGTTCACAGTCCTTGTATGGGGTGGTTCATGTACATGACACACCCAATTTCTTTTTTTCATTGCTTATTCCTTCCCTCCCTCTTCCATACCTCCTCATCCCTCCATCTCTTGATCCCTTTCCCCTTTGAGAAAGATTGATCTCCCTATTTCCTATTATCTTTTATTTTGCTCTTTATTTGTACTCTGGGTTTCTAGTATAAGAGGATCCCTGCAATGTTTAAGCCTGTGTCTGATTTATTTCACTTAACGTTATGGTCTCAAAGTGCATCCAATTTCCTACAAATGACTCAAATGTATTCTTGTTTATGGCAGAGTAGTACTCCATTGTATATAAATACTACATTTTCTTTATCCATTCATCTGTTGATGGACATGTGGGCTACTTCCAAGATTTAGGTATTGTGAACTGTGTTTCTATAAATGTGGGTGTGCATGGGTCTCTGTAATATGATGACTTTAACTCTTTTGGAGAAAATACCTAGAAGGGGAATAGCTGGCTGAATGGAATTTCTAGTTTGAGTTTTTTGAGGACTCTTCATGCTGACTTCCATAGTAGTTGTATTAGTTTATATTCCCACCCACAGTGTAGCAGGGTTCCTTGACCCTGGCCCCCACAGTTTGGCCAGTGGTGTTTGTTATTATTTGATTTCTCGATGATGACCATTCTTTCTGGGGTGAGACGGAGTCTCAGTGTTGTTTGGTTCTCAGTGTTGTGCATTTCTATAGTGGGCCAGGCTTTCTGAAATGCTCTTTGAAGCCCTACCACCCAGTGCTTCCATAAGCATTGCTACTTCTGCCTCAGTCAGAAAGCTGAGAAGGAGGAGGCTGAACTGTTGCCTCAGTAGTTCTTCTACCATCTCTTCCCAGCCAGCAACAAAACAGGATGTGCAAAAGGATGTCCAGGGAGTGAGGAAACACACGCTAAGGCCTTAGCCACCACTACCTCTAAACATATAAACATCTTCAAGAGCATGCCTCAGATTTTCCCTGCATCTGACTGGTACAACCCGAGTTGCGCCTAGATCCTGGCTGCATGGATTTAGGATTTTTGCTGTGCAGTACAGGAAGATGCCCCTGCAAGATGTGCACATTTACTAAGGATTCACGTTATCACCCTGCAATCAATCCTAGCTGTGTAGACTTTGGTACTCTCAGAGGCTCAGTGACATCCTCTATCAAGTTACAGCTCCTGATGTTGATCTTCTTGGAGATCAAATTAAACATGATAACATGCGGAAGAAGAACAGAATGCATGGCACATGTAGGCACTGAATAAATGAGGCACCAACCAATCGATGGCCATCACTACACAACTTGATAGGGGAGCAGTGAGAGATGGAGATAGTTAGAGCTTAGGGTACAGAGATTTGGGAGGACGAGTGGATGTGACCCTGGAATAGCCACAGGGGCTTTGGAGAGCATCTGTGTCCTGGGAAAGGATATGACTGTGTTCGAATCTGTGTGCTGCCTCAGCTGTTTCTTTGTGTTCTTTCATTTGTTTTATTTTATGGAAAAATAAAATAATATTTCATAACAAAATAATAGAATAACAATAATTAGTGCATTGAGTAGTATTATCTCTAAAGTTGTTACTCAGAGTACAAGATATGGGCGTAAAAAATTCTCTAAATGGTATTAGCATAAACCTTTCTTTTTAGTGAATTAAGATACTATTAGTATACCTGTCTTGTATTTTGTTTTTTTTTTTTCCTGTTCCCTACCTTTCTTTTCCTTTTTCCCCATTCTAGTTCCTTTTTCCTTTTGAACAACTTCTTAGAAAGACAGTCACTTTGATAAATGGTGTGGAAAGTGGCTTTCCACATGCCAAAGACTAAAACTAGACCCATGTCTATCACCATGTTTTTTCATTTTTAATTAGTTTTTTAAATCAAAAATTAGCCTCTGCATATAAACAATGAAAAGATGTTTCTTTTCCAGTTTCTTTAGTATCCTAATAACTACAAGCACATATGTAATGTATATTCTTCCTTTTCTTCCCTCTGTTACGTGTTTCACATCTTTTTTTTTACTCATATCATTTGGAGTACAATCCATTTTCATCCTTATAGGATTAATTACCTATTGATAGCAGTTCCTAGCTCACGGTCTTGCTTTTACCAAGCTTGCTATAACATTCACCCTTGTGCACAGGGACTCTTTGCAGAATACATATTTAGAAGGATGAAGCCTGAACCAGAGGTTTGATACAGTTGATAATTTTATTGATATTATCCCTTATTATGCTTTTTACCAGTCCTTTTTTTTTTTTTCCAGAACTCGGACCCAGCCCAGGGTCTTTGCCCTGAACCACATCTCCACCCGCTGTTTTTGAAATAGAGCCCACTCAGTCTCTAAGCTGCTTAGGTTGGGCTCAAAATTGCAATCTTCCTGCCTCAGCTTTGCAGAGGCCTACAATTATTTACCGGTGTGTGCCACCACACCCACCTTCTACCCGTCTTGTGTCAACTGCTTCTGTTGCCCATATCCTGCACTATCATGCTTCATCAACCCTTTGATTTGTACCAGTGAGGTTGGAGAAGGAAGAAATTATCCCTGTGTAGAGCACGAGAAATCTTGAGCAAGATGTAGAGGTGGAAGATGATGTAAAAGATAAGAACTGAGGGCTGGGGATTTAGCTCAGCGGCAAAAGCGCCTGCCTGGCAAGCGCAAGGTTGTGAGTTCGGTTCTCGGTACCGGAGAAAAACCAAAAAAAAAAAAAAAAGATAAGAACTGAGAGAAGTTGGGATGAAATTTAAATTTAGGAGGGGAATCTTAAACCTTTTCTCACTTCCTGTAATCCAGGCAATGACTTGACCAAACCGATCACATGTGATTACGTTCAAGCCTCATAACAGCAGTAAGCCGCACTAGTGTCCTCCTTTGCTCTGACACCCAGCCTCTGGCCACAGTATCTCCTGTGTCCTTCTCACTGACCATTGAGGAGACCAAGCCGCAGTGGCTCAGTGATTTACCAGAAGTTCCAAATCAATGAAGTCAGGACAAAGCTTCCTTTTTCTAGCTCCTTATATACTGAGTGCATTAGACTGAGGCTCCTGTCTGTATGAGAGGACCACACAGGATCTGAATAGGCCCACAGGATATATTTTATGCACAGTTTGAATTTAATAGTTGCGTTGAATTCATTTCCTTGAGATCAAAGAGGTTCTGCTGGAGCTTGGCAGTCCTGACGTTGAGCATACTGGCATTTTTCACTTGGTGACAGGAAATGTTCTTCAGGGTTCTTCCTCAGAGAGTCTATGTTCCTTTCACAGCTGTTGTATTTACCCAAGGAACACGTGACAAAAGGTATATGATATAAAAACTCTTCTTGTAGAAGATCATGCAGCCATGCCCGAGGTCTACCCTTGGTCCTGCTGATTCTTAAATTGGCCAGTAAGTCCCTCCTTGATGCTCCCAGGGGCTGAGCCTGGCACTGTGTCCTCCTCCTCATTGTCTGCTGCTGCCTCAGAACCCAGGATCATGAGCTTAGAGGTTTCAGATGAGATTTTCCACCCTCATTCCCCACCTGTTTTCAGAGTCCAGGATTTCTGTGTAGGGCAGGGTATTTTTCACTCAAATCAAATGTGGAATTTCAGACTCTGAAATTTTAATGATGAGGCAACATTCAGTCGTGGCCTGAAGTCCCAGTGAAGCGCTGACTCCCAAGTGGCACAGACACTGGATGAGATGATTGCTGACAATGTGATGAAAAGGAGGAAATTAGAAATAAACCGTCCATCTGGAAAAAATGAACCTGGTCCAGTGATTTTTTTTGCCTTGGAAAGCCCAACTTTTTGAATTGTACCAATTGGAAAACATCCTCATGATGGTTACTCTTATGGCAGAGCTATGAGTGTTTTGGAGACTCAGCCGTTTATTGTTGCCCAAGCAAGTAAAGACTCAGTGTCAAAGAATAGACTAAGAGTGCAGCAGTGGTCTTAGAAATTAACTATCCCGGGGGTTGGGGATTTAGCTCAGTGGCACAGCGCCTGCTTGGCAAGCACGAGGTCATGAGTTCGATTCCCGGTACTGGAAAAAAACAAAAAAAAAAAAGAAAGAAGTTAACTGTCCCGGTGTCCAGTTTTATAGAAAAGGAAACAGACCTAGTACACACATGCTATTTAGCTCTGGTGAGCATTAGCCGGAGCCCGAAGCAAGCTCTCCTGTCTGCATTGTATGGTTCACTCTTCATTCTTTGATCCGTGTTTTATAATCAGCTAAGAGAATATGGTTCTTTATGAGATTTTGTTCATTTATTTTTTTCAAGGTGGACTGGGATTTATTTTCAAAATGATCCTAAACAGACCTGTTTTTAACGAAGAAAAAAGGGAACATAAATGAGAAGTCTCAAATGTTAAAGAAAAGGATAAAGGAAAATGATCAAACGATTTATACACAGGATACTCGGCTGATAGATAAATGTGTTTTGTTTTAGAAATTGCTGCTCCACTTTTAGTTTTGCGATAAGTGAAGAAGGGCTGTGCACTTACACCATCTATTAAAATCTGGGAACTAAGTAGTGTTATCTTTGTGAATGATCAACTGCGTAAGATGTGTTTCAAATTAGCTATATAAATAATCTAACAAGGTCCTTCCTTGTGCATTTTTCAGAACAAACAAAGTGCAGTGTGTTTTTACAACCAGATAATAATTTGATTCATTTTTCCTCTTTCCCACATTTGGATATAGATTGATATAGAATTACTTAAAATGCTGCATATAAATTAAACATTAAAAGGGAGCTAGGGAGAGGCTAAGCTGCCCCATTATAATCTTTAGTTCCGCAGCCACTGCCTCAAGGACAGCGGGTTCATATCACCTGTCCTTCTTTTGAAAAGTGATCGCCAAGGTTCAAGTAACATTTAAGCACAGCAGGCACCTGCATAATTTATGGACCTCTTTTGTGTTCTGTTTTAATGAAAAACAGGAAAATACCAGACTATTTTCAGATATTAATGTCTCCCTTTTGTGCTTTCCCTCCCTCCCTGGCTTTGCAGATAGGGGCCCTGAAGGACTACTACCACTTCTACCACAGCAGGACGATCAAAAGGTCAGTTCTCTCCAGCAGAGGAACCCACAGTTTCATTTCCATGGAACCAAAGGTAAGAAGAACCAGTTGGTGGAGGCAAGAAAACAAAGCTGCATTTTTCATTGGTGATGACACACTAGGAGCTGATGAGCAACATGATGCAGATGTCTGGAACTGTCATCGTATCCTTAGGTCCAGTGGATATGCCTCTTCCTCAGACAAAAGTAGGCAGTGGCTTGAATTTCCTCTGGGCTGCCACTGTGGTATCCACGGCCCAGGGGTAGCCCTAGGGGCAGCTAACTTTGGGAGACGTTTCAGGGCATAGGGAACTGGGAAGACTGACTGAGAATGACAGAAGGAAGAACCTGTTTGCACACAGATTGTGAGCTCCATAGAAAGATGTCTTTTAAAGCCTTCCATCAGGCCTTGGCTGACCACAAATCCCCATGACCCTGCAATGCAATGATGGATAGCCCAGGACTAGACCATGTCTAGGACAGGGGGAACCCAGAAGCAGTAGAAGGCAGCTCTTGCTCTTGGGGGCTGGCTCCTCCAGTACCTTTCTTACATTAAGCCCTCTAGGTTGTACACTGACAGTGTAGCCCTTGGAGAGCCCAGAAGGAAGTATGACAGATATAGACCCTCCCATCTGAGCAAGATTGGACAGCTGTGATGTGAGAGATGGGAACCTGAGCGCAGTCAGGGACAAACTACTAAGAGCAGACAGTAAGAATTTGAAGTTGAGTTAAATATCTGTCCCAATATGGACATGGGACTGACTTGGAGCAAGGACCTGACCTGTGATGGAGATCTAATTGGTTTTTCAGATGTGGCAAGACGAAAAGAGGCTGCTGGGCCAACTTGCCCCATTCCTCTGCGTGCTCACGGTATATTTCTTATCAGTTAGGGTATTCTACCCCTCCCTCATTATGATTTGAGTTTGCCAGAAGAGCTTGTTTTCAAATCAATAGGAAAGCAAGTCCTTACCAGCACAGCAACCTCAGCTAGAAATTTCTCAAAAATCGTACTGCTTAGATTCCTATTTGAATTGCTATGCAAATCTGCAGTTTGAAGGCCTGCCCCCTGTGCCTTGGTTTACTTTAATTTTTCGGTGGAATGTTGTGACACAGGGTTGGTGTTGTGAAATTGTGTCTTGGTAATTAGAAAAAGCACATTTCTTTTAGGTCCTCATTTTCTATGGGTGTTAGAGAACATCTCCTAATACTTCCACTTCAATGGCCTGTAGATTGTATTCATTTTTTCCCCTTCACCCGGATTCAGAATTTAATTTTTCTGGAAAAGTTATGTGGTTGGACAATCTTGAATTAGTTACAGTTTCAAAGCAAAGCCACATTTCTCATCTGTTAAACAACTGTCTTGAACTTTGGTAATTGAAAAGATTTCAACTTCCAGCCTCATGTGCACAGTCAATGTGAATTTGAAAAACAAGTTACTTGTTGCTTGGGAAGTAAAAGTACAGAACGTAACAAGACATTATCCTGATGAAGGATTGACTGAATATGGACCTATTTCAATTCTTACTGTTGCCTTGGGAACCTTGCTTTTCATTTCTTCTTATCTCAGTGCATGAAATCGCTTGTGCATGGGCCAACGGGGACCTTGACCTTGGACCCCGGAACACATAGTACCTGCAACGTACACCCTTCTTCCCTTAGTCCAGAGGCACAGATCCATTTTAGGCCAGTACAGGGGTACATGCTCCATTCCCCTTCCTCCTGAGTGACAAACTTACCTGTGTTGGGCTGTATTGTCCCCACCTTCCTGGTGCCTGCTGCCCACCGTTTCACCCAGCCATATGCAGAGGAGGGCCACAGCCTATCAGCCTTGCAGATGGACGCCACAAATGGGCTTTGTCCAGTTTCTTTCAGATACTTCTTGTAGTCCATCGATTCATTGGCCATTTCTTGAGCCCTGAGCGTCTGCCAGGCCTTATGCTAAGCTCTGGAGACTCATGGGCGTCGTGATTCTCCAAGGGGTCATCGTTGGGGTTTCCCACGGCAGCTTTCAGGGAAACTCAAGACATCAGGATACTCCTCAGCACTCGGGAAGAGTAGGGCAGAGAAGACAGGATGTCCTGAGTTTTTCCTTCTCCAGTTTTCTTACCAAGCTTAGACTTACCTAGCTTAGTTTTGCTTTTTAAAAATAATTTTAAAAAAACCCTTATTTATAGAGAAGTTGCAAAAATGTGGTAAAGAGTTCCTAAATACTTTTCCCAGATTCCTCAAACATTAATGTTGTATATTTTGCCACATTTACTTGATCATTCTTTCTCTCTGTACCTGTCTACACACGTGAGCACACACACAGACACGTGCTCACACTCACACCCACATACGTGTGTGTGTTTTCTCAACATTTGGGGTTAAATTATAGGCACAGTGCTTTTTTAACTGTAAATGCTTCGCTGCACGTTTATTAAAGACAGAGCCATTCTGCTCCACAAGCAGAACTGCAGTAGTAAAACTCTGGATACTAACACTGATTCAGTATTTTCACTGATCTACAGGCTTTTCACATTTTTCAGTCGTGTCCTTTGTGGGCTGGGATCCCATGTCGTTATCATTACTGTTTACTATCATTCTTCTTTCAGCTTTCTCTTTTTCTGCTTTTTCTTTAAGGAGTTAGAAATATCTCAAAAAGTTTGAGGCTAGTCACTTTGTAGGCTATGTTTCAGCAGGATTTATCCGTTTTCTCCTGCTTGGATCCACGTTCAGTGAGAACGTTTTCGGCCAGAACACTGGAGAAGGGAGGTCCTCCTCTTGGCGCCCTATTGATGGCACAGGGCATCGGCTTCTCTCATTACAGAAGGTGTTAACTTTGGTCACATGTCAGCATGGTGGCTGCCGCTTTCCCTTCTTTAAAACTGTTATTTTCCTCTTCTTAATAACCGACTGATTTAGTAGCATTTTGTGGGATTTACTTAGAAACTCAGCGTATAACTCCATGTTTGGTTACTGAAATGAGATACCCGAAGGCTGAATGTGCAGAGAGCAGAGCATGGGCCTCCCCGGCCGTGTCACCTCATGGCAGATGGCATCACGGTGGGCCTATGTGTGAGAAGAAGATAGCACGTGGTAAGACAGGAGTCAGAAACCAGGCAGTCCTACTTTTTTTTTTTTTTTATGAAAACCCTCTCTAGTGGGAACTGACCAGGATCTTATGGTAACTCCTTACTCTTCTGAGGACAGCACCCCAGTGGCCTCATGACCTCCTACTGGGCCCCACCCTTAAGGATTCTATTACCTTTTAGTAGTGCCACCCTGGAACACATGAACTCTTGGGGACAAAGTGCATGCAAACCATAGCACTATGCAAATTTCCAACGCTGATTCCACGTTTCACTCTGAGTTAACCTCAGTGAGACTATGAACAAGTGCTGGTGTGGTTTGCATTCTTGGGCATGTCTCTTTTCTTTAATCTTGGGTGTGTGGTGGGTGGTGTATGTGCCAGAGTAGAGGCACTTTTGCGGGTTGGGACTGTGTGAAATGGCTTTGTGAAAAACACTGGCGATGTGAACTTGAAGTTATTTTTGATCACTACCTTCTCAAAAAAAGAAAGCAACTGGGCGAATTGCAGGGAATACACTCACTAAACAGCTCCTGGCATTTATGTACTCTAGTGAATTGCATGGCTGCTTTTTTTTTTCTTGCTTTTCAATTTACACAGAGGGTTCCAAAGAAGGAAATGCAGGAGTAGCAACATCCACGTGGCCGGAACAACCCTCTTAATGCTAAGTGCTGGGTTAGCTGGGCACATGAGCAAAGAGCACCAGAATAGCCTTGATGTTCATATGCTAACATTATGTTGCGATTAACGTTTGAAATGATAGAGATTCACAGACTTCTGAGATGGTGACACTGGTACAGCAGTAACACAGTTTTGCAAAATGTGTTGCTACATTTTACAGTAGCTGAGTCAATAAATTTTCTATCCTTCCTGTCCGTGTCTTGGTTACTTTTCTCTTGTTGGTGGGACAAAATACCTGACGCCCAAAATGAAGGAAGGAAAGGTTTATTTAGCTTACAGTTTGTGGAGGTTTCAGTCCATACTTGGCTGGTTCCAAGGCAGAGTGGCACATGGCAGAGGGCAAGCCTTCATGGCAGCAGAACACAGCAAAAACAACAAGAACAAAATGGAGGAGCAGCGGGAAGAGCAAGCCTCTTTCCCTTATATATGCAGACTGTCTACCCCAGGGCAGTGTAGCTCTCACACCCATAATCCCAGCATTAGACCATGGATAAATCAAAAATCTATAAGCCTTCCCCACGACTGCGTGAGGATTTGCGGGGGGACATGTGGACACAAACCATAACAGTCCATATCTTTCTTTTTGACTCACTTTTAAGAGACCAAAGCAAATTTTCAGAAGTCATAAAGTTCATATTCTGAAAGCTTCAGACATTTTGGTCCTAGACATTTCTCTAAATCTAGGACAGACTCACCCTGTGTTCTGATCCAGGCCTGGGCGCATCTTCTATCTTCTTTCTTTCTTGGCCAGACTGCTTTGTCACAGGGATGAATCCAGCTGTGTATCTCACTTATGGAAAAACTAGTTATGTACTACTATTTATCACAGAGTCATAGACTCCTTAGGATTAAAGTTGATTTCGTCTTACCTCTTCCCTAACCAGCATTGGCAGTCTTGTTCATCCTCCTAAGACATTTTTTTTCAGATTTGTTTGAACATGTCCAATCACAGGGAGCTCACTACTAGACAGGGCAAACATATTTGAGAAGAGATTCAACTTGTTAGTTTTCTGTTTGTCTATAACTTCTTTCCATTGGGGCCTGTTTTTGTCTTCCAGAATTATATACAGTGGTAAATCAACTTTACACAAGTATTCTTTAAATATTTGAAGCGCATTGCTAATTCTCCTGGAGAAACAATTGTCCTTTGGTAAATGTGGCGCAGAATTAAGTTCAAGGCTTTAGCTCATAGATATACTTCCCTTGTTTTCATTTCTGCATGAGCCATTCCCTCTGAAGACAACTGAGAGTTCACACGTGACTACAGGTATAGGAAAAGAGGTAGTTACAAGATCAGATGAATCC